ATTCACCCCTTCGCTTACTACCATATTTCGCACTAGTAGGTTTATCACTACGTGAATTTCCACTTCATCCCTTTTTGGACATAGTGTTGGACACCCTATCCTTATAAGCCTTAGGTATATTTGAAGGAACTTTGTTGGAGAACTATTTCTTGTACATAGGCTTGTCTTGAATTTCAAGCCTACCCTTGGAAGTACCTCTCTCATATGACTTGGCCCTCTTACAGTGAATATTCATACTCTTGAGTCTAGTATCCTCAACTTGTTGAGCAGGAACCATCGAATGATATATATCCATATTATCCTGTAGAACTACCGAACGACACTCTTAAAGTAGGTCATCAGTCACTCCCATCATAAAGTGGCTCATGTCATCCCTAGGATTAGATACAAAGGAAGGAGCAAGCTACGAAAATTTAGTGAACTTCAAGAAGTACCCTTTCACACTCATAACTTCTTGGAGAAGATTCATGAAATCATCCAATCTAGCCTCCCTTTTTTCCGTTGGAAATAACCTATCAAGGAAAGCCCATTGAAACACTTCCGAAGTTATAGGACCCGCTGTTAAAGCCTATTATCACTCCCTTGGGTTACCATGTTTGAGCCACATCGTTAAGTTGATAGGTGGCTAGCTCGACCTTTTCATTAGAACTCACTCCCCTAAAAAAGCGGAACTTGTAGACCTCATCGAGAGTGTCTTGAAGTTCTTTATTCACCTTAGTCACAAAGAGCATAAGAGGGTTAATCCTTCTTAAGTCGCTCAAGCGAGAAGCCACAGTACTAGCATTTTTTTGAACATAGGGTCCAACATCGCAAGTTGCTTAAGTCGTCATGGCTTTAGCTTGAGTAGCTATGGCTTGTGTTTGGGTAGTCATAGCTTGATCCAAGGAAAAAAATGTTGACCTTATCCCTCCATCGTTTATGGGTTGAGGAATGACCAAATCTTGGTCTTGTGGAGGAACTTGATTGCCTTGTAGAGGATCTTGGTTGCCTTATGGAGGAACTCCCGCATTAGCCAATTTTTCTCCACTCTACTTGTTGATTCCCATCTCGAAATTCATCTACCATATCCATAAGAAAATTATTAGAAGAAAAAGTGACACATAGATTTCAACTCTGAGGACACGACTTCCAAAATTACAAATAAGTGAGAATTCCAAATAATCACATACCCACTTATTCATAAGTCTTGTATGCTACACACCCATGAACAAGACTCTACATAGACGTGGTTTAGTGAGATATCATTCCTAAGAATACTCCAACCTCATGCTCCTATACAAAGTTTGTCACGTCCGAAGAGCAGACCCTAGACGTAACCGATGTCCTCGACCGTGGAGAGTACTTAGACAATCCTCTTAGCATTTCTCATAACATATCATATGTTAAGATGCAAAAAAATTAAAACTTTTTATATATAGAGGTGTACATAGACCTCACATAGTGCATATGGATTTTGTTTAGACTCCCTGCATAGGAAGATCACATAGGTTTCTCATTAAGACAACATAACTAACATATAAGGATTTAGTCTAATAATACCATCTCAAATTAAACCATCAAAAATGAAGTGGAACATTCGGGCATAACCCTTATGCATATCTATAATTTCCAAATAGGTCTTAAAACAATATCTTCAACAAAGTAATTAAATGAATGTCTTTAAACTATAGAAATACTACTAAGGTATAATATGTTGAACAATGAAAAGTCACTTTAAAAAGTCATTATGCACAATCAAGAACATATACAAGCCAATAGACTTAACATTACTGAATGCAAGTTCATATTAAACATGAGACAAATACCATCACTAAACTCAAGTCAACATGGATATTATCAATAGAAGTCATATAAACATGAATGGCTGATACATCCAAATTACACCGCTCTAAAGAAGTATAATTTGTCGTATCAAGTAAAGAACCCAACAGTAGGTTGGCATCGATCCCACGAGGAAAATAGTTTTGATTTAACTTCAATGTATAATTATTTCTATTTAGTCATATTATTTCCGAAAACATATAATTAATAGGGGTTTTAGGGAAACAAAATTCTTCAATAACTCTAAGTAAAAAAAGTAACATGAGTAAAGCATTGGTTTTTGTCAAATTGTTGGACAAACTAGGGAGTAAGTGTTTTTCATAGGTTCATAAAATTGTATTCCTAGCTATAACAACTCCTCCCTTGTGTTTTACATGTAAAGTGATAAGTTAGGTATCTCGAAATCCTTGATTTGACATTTAGAAAATTTCACCTCGTGTGTATAAGCTACTAACCCTTATCTTTACTTCATATTATGCATTATATTTGATGTATATCTTAGTTATTACTTGGAACTAATCGAGACTACACTATTAGATAGTATCCCACTAAATCTATGCTGATAATTCATTTCTTTTTAACTACCTCCTTGGTCCGGCAAGTAGAAACAAGGGGAGTTCTAATGCGTGCACTCGTAAAAAGACTTCTAAGTGAAAGAGTGATAAATACATGAAATAATCTATTTGAGAATTGTTATTAAGGTCTACTTTGTTAATCAGCTATGGTTCCTACAACCCTAGTTGTGGATTTAGATATCCATGCATATAAGAACACAATTTATAGTTGTAAAACAATTAAACAGGAACTTACTTTGACAATTAAAAGAAAATCTGAAATTCAAATTGAAACAACAAGAGATCATATGAAAACCAAATCCGTAAAGTGATTAATGCTTATGTTGCAAAACCCAATCTCAAAAAACAAACTAAGAACAAAAGTAATAGAATTCAACTACAAAAAGGAGGTTTTTACACCATATTTATAAAAACATAATTCTAAATTATAAGGAATTAAAATAAACAAAGTTGCAAAAATATTTGCATTAACCGACCCCCACAAACGGTTTGTCGATGAAATGACGGACCATCGACTGCCTCCGCCAGTCAAGACTTAGCATCTTTTTTCATCCTTCTGCTGGCACCTTCTGTGAATCAATCGGAAGACAAAAAACATGATTCGTCAATACTTCTACGGTTCGTCGATAGCTTCTGTCATTACATATATAGACTTTCCTCAACTTTGGGTACTAGAACTATCTCTGAACTTATCGATAATTTAACAAGACGGTCTGTCGTTCCTTCCATTGTACAACACTTGGTCTAGTTTCCCCGAGTTTCTCGAGATTCATGAACTATCATTCAATGGTCACCATATACCGTAAGTTCATGAAACAGAGGACCGTCGATAGCCTTTGTGGGTCACGTATCTACTAAATCTTAGTTGCCTTCTTCATTTTCAGTTCGGACAAACAATATAAAATCATGTTAAAACTACTACAGAAAAGGCTCTAGACACACAAAAATCTTAAGGAATAAGCAATTAAAGTAATGCGAAACCATTATACATCAGCACCCTCAACTTAAATTTTTTTATTTGTCCTCAAGCGACAGACTATGACTTAACAAAACACTTTGTACAAAAGTATACTCTTTTAAGCTTTCACAATCACATGGCTATCAAGCCCAACTTTTTCTTTGCTTTAGTGCATACTTCTACTATTAGGTTTAATAAGCTAACTCATGTGGAGCGGACCATGATATAAACTCACCATTCACCAACACCTTTACTATTTTTCTTGTAACAAAGGTTCCACTCTCCGACATTGCAACTAGTGCCCTCATTTCAAAAGAAATCCTCCTTTTTCGGTTATTGATTTTAACTTTGGTTACAAGGATTATTATTCAACACTCATGCACAAAACAAATACACACCTACCTAGTAATTATCGACATATGCTTGCCCTTATTTTCTTTGCTTAATTTCACAACATTAGACTCTAGGATAACGATAGGACTTTCTTGGCTTCTAACATAGGCTTAGGGTCGGGTATGGTAAATATGGGTAAATTTTAGTGACTTTTTGCTCTGCTTGAAATTACGACTAAGAGTCCTACCTCTTTTATTATCTCCTATGCCCTACTTTTATCTTTTTTTTCATCTTTACCTCGCTTCACCCTTTTTTGTTTATGGAAGTGAGTCTTACATCTTTTTGTTCAACTCTTTTTTTCTTTCTTTTCTCTTTCTCTTTTTTTTCCTTGTAATTGATAAATTTTCGTGAGTCACCTCTCTTGATTAATTTTTCTATTTTTTCCTCATTACTTTTTTCATCCCGACTTTTTGGGTCATCACTCATAATAGCCACCCTCCACTTATGAATTTGCCATGAGTCGAGCTACATATTTCCCAAGGTTAGGTCAAGGCCAAGACAAGGCCAGTTTCTGCATTAACCTCTCCACTTATGATTTTGACCTAAGTTGAGTTGTACATTTTCAAGTAGGGACCACGGCCAATACATTAAACTCATGGTGGGTGACTTGGTAAAAAAAGAAAGGTCTATTATAGGTTCAACAACTTTGGATCAAAAAATGATAAAAAAAACTTGTTTGGTTGACTTAATTTTTGATTAAATGTTTGCTAATCGAAAGAGGGCCTATGATTCTTTCCTAGTCGGCTAACACAGATTCCTTATGCAAGACCAGCCGTGCAAATTCTCGATAGGTACAAATAGTGGAACAATAAAACTTACTGACACTCACTTGAAGCCTCATTACCTTATCAGATTGTCAAGAACCTTGTTTTAGTGTTTATTTGAGGGTCATGTAGTTGGTGCATCTCTATATTATAATTAGACACAACACATTCAACTTCTTTATTCCTATTCATGCAAGCATTTTATTAGGATGTGATTTCATTCATGCTTATACATCATGCTTCATACTTTGTAAAGGTTGTGACATGCCGGTTCAACAAGAAAGTAATCAGTCTGTTGGAGCAAAAGAACACAGACAAGAAAACCCTTTGAAGAGGATCATGAATTGGGATACTAAGACTTCACCCTAACACTCACTTTCCAATTACCCCACCCCCAACAAAAAAAAGTATGAAATTGTCCCCTATACTTAAAAAATATAAAATACATGGTTTTACGTGAAGCAAACCTGAGGAGCATAGCTCCGATGATCAACACGTAAGAGGGTCCAGTTTCCAATAACACACAACCTCTATAGTAGGGACACCCTCAGTGGTGCCGATAGAAATTTCCACACCCTTAGTGGTGCGCCTCTCAACAGCCTCCGTTCTTGAACTAAATGACCCAGCAAGAAACTCTCGAGCACTCATCTGACCGGTATCCTTACCAATCAACGAGGCTCTCCTTGAAGCCTCAAGATACAACCCCTCCTTCTTCCTTGCATGGGCATCCTCTCCATTAATGGTGCGGCTTGAATGGTGCCTCTTGGCACGAACACATGACTCAGGCGGCGGCTATGTAGGGGCTACGAATAAAGCGGTAAGAATAGTGTCCTCACTAGCTCAAAGGGTGCATTCTCGAGCTCAGTCCCCCTCATCTCTAGAATGTTGTCAGCATTTGCCCGCAAACTCGCCACAACCTCCTAAAGAGTAGTCAAGTCAATGGTGGCAGCTTGACGTGCAAGAACCCGCACCTCAAATGTATCAAGGCTTTGGTTAACCTCCTGAATTTTTCTGCTCCATCTGCTTGGTCACCCTCTTCTCGATCTGGTTCTCAGCCTCGTCAACGGATTTGTGCACCCAAGGCTAGATACAATGCAACAGCATGGCAATCTGGGCCTCTAACATCTGGACCCTTGTTATTGGGACCAGTGCTGCAAACAGTGGAATAGACTAGAAGGAATGGGGAGACTCGACCGGGGTGGTGTTAGTGGTCTCTTAAGTGGCAGGATCATCCTCTTCGGCTAACTATATCCGCCAAATTCTCAATCAGCGGCTACAACTCAACTCTAGGCCCTCGCTGTGGTGATGCAACATTGGCCTCATCCCTGATGAGACCTATATAAACATTCACGGTTGGAGTGCGTAGGGCATCAAGATGACATCTTGGCACTCCAGCATCTCTACATAAGTGGAAGATCATATAGGTGAATGGGTAAGTAATAGAGGTCTTAAAAGTCCCCTAATGTGTCAGAGAGATCAATAATCTCGCGAAGTCGATCTATGCCATGTAATTATATTATCTGCACCCATTTGGACTATGTTACGGCTCCCTCTAAGAACTCTTCGCCCGATTATAACCAAATGGGTCATCACCCGTGAATGTTTCAGCACCTTTATGTCCTTGTACACCTGATACAACCCATTGATGGGGTTCGTAGATCTGTGCACCAGGTCATTTTCCACAGAATTTTAGTTTTAGTCTCTAGACAATGGACACCCATTAAGTTTTTTTTTTATGTTTTTCCGGACACTTTTGAGACACGAACCCTAACCTAGTCTCTACCCGATACTAAAAAATAATAAAGAATAAGGATAAGCAAACAAAACAAAATGAAACATGATAATGGAATTTTTCTACAAAGAAAAGAAAAACCATTGTCAGGTAGTGGATACACCTTGGTTTGTGTCCCAAGAAGTGCTTGATTTTATGTGGCGGCACGACGCAAGATCCTTGATTACTCAGACTTCATCAACGTAATATGTCTCAACCACTTGAAGGACACTCTCTGCATGCCCTAGGTATATCCTAATCCTTTGCTTTTTTACAGTGAATTTTGCACCATCCTTATTCTCCAACACAACCGCTCCACGTGGAAACACTTTAGTAATAAGGAATGGTCTCGTCAACTTGAACTTGTATTTGCCCGAAAACAAGTGTAGCCTACAGTTTAATTGAAGCACCAAATCCCAATCGCAAATTCTCATTTTTCAATATTTTGTTCGAGGTACTTTTTCATCTTCTCTTTGTAGATGGTTGAACTTTCATACGCTTTTAGATGAAACTCTTCATGTTTATTTAACCCATTAATTCTCTATTAAACTTATTCAATTCCAATCTATCTTTAGTTTCTTCATTCCCACATGGATTTGTGATCTAATTCAACTGGCGCGTGACAACTCTTCCCATGTACAAGTTGGTATGGAGAAATACCTATGGGAGTCTTGTATGAAGTCTTGTAAGCCCAAAGAGCATAATCAATCCTCCTTGACCAATCCCTTCTATTCAGATTTACCATTTTCAACAGAATTTGCTTGATTTCTTGATTAGACACCTCAATTTGCCCACTAGTATGAGGACGATACAAAGTGACCACAAAATGGCGAACCCCATATTTCTCCAAAAGCCCAATTAAAAATATACTGCAAAAGTGAGATCCACCATCACTAATAATGGCCCTAGGTGTGCCAAATCTTGAGAAGTTGTTCTTCTTCAAAAACGTGGTGATACTCTTCCTTTCATTGTTAGAGATTGCTATAGCTTCCACCCATTTTGATACGTAGTTCACCGCCACAAGTATATATTTCATCCCATGAGAAAAAATCAATGCCTATACATCAAATAAATCAATCATTGGAACGGGATTTAAAGGGAGCTCTTGCCTCTTCGAAATTCCTCCGTCTCTTTGGCAACTATCACATGACTTAGCAAACTTCTGCGCATCTTGGTGAATGGTTGGATAATAGTACCCACACTACAAAATCTTGTGGGAAGTGTGGATATCACTATGGTGCCCGCACACAAGCGAGGATTGGCAATCCTCCAAAACACTTAATATCTATATTTCAAGCACACAACGATGAATAAGAACATCAGAACAACTCTGGTATATGTAAGGCTCATTCCAAAGGAACTTTTTCACATCATGCATTAAATTCTTACTCTATCGAAAAGACAAGTCTGATGTTTCTATATAACTAGACAGATAATTCGCAAAATTGGCAAACCATGGAATCAAATAATGTGAAGCAGCTAATACATGCTTATCAGAAAAGGTATCGTCAATTTCAGCTTTTTCACGTAACTCGCAGATAGCTTCATCCTCTAATATAGACAAGTGATCGGCAACGTGATTTTTTTCCCCTTTCTATCTTTTACCTCAAAATCAAACTTATGCAATAATAGCACCCATCTAATCAATCGTGGCTCCGCATACTTCTTTGACATCAAATACCTCGATACGGAATGATCAATATGCACTATGAATCTACTACTGAATATATAGGAGCAAAGTTTTTTGAACGCAAATACCATTGCAAGAAGCTCTTGTTCAGTAACAATATAGTTCTTTTGTGCTTCATTTAGGGCGTTACTTGCATAATAAATGGGGTGAAGGATTTTATCCATTCTTTGTCCCAAGACGACACAAAGAGCAATTCTATTAGGATCACATATAACCTCAAGTGTCTTAATATAATATGGGGAAATAATAATAGGAGCAAAGAACTACTTCTTTTTCAACTTTCCGAATGCTTTCTGACAGGTTTCATAAAAATAGAATTTATATTCTTTCTCAAGTAATTTGAATAGAGGATATGCAATTTTTTAGAAATCTTTAATAATAACGTCCAGAAAAAGCTTGCATGTCCCAGAAAATTTCTCACACCTTTTAAAGAGATGGGTGGGGGTAGCCTCTCTATAACTTCAACTTTCGCTCGATCAACTTCTATCCCCTTCTCTAAGATGTGATGCCCCAATGCTAAACCCTCTTTCACCATAAAGTGACATTTTTTCCAATTAAGAACAAGATTGAAATTTTTACATCTTTTGAGAACCTCAATCAAGTGACACAATCATGGATCAGAGAAGTCACCCACAACTGAAAAGTCATCCATAAACACCTCAATAATATCCTCCACCATATTGGAGAATATCAACATCATACATCACTGGAAGGTGGCCAGTGCATTACACAACCCAGAAGGAATTATTTTGAAGGAAAAATTACCATAAGGGCATATAAAAGTGGTCTTCTCTTGATCCTCTCGGGCAATAAACATTTGGTTGTAACCAAAAACTAATCAAGAAAATAGTACCATCATTTTCCTGCGAGTCTATCCAAAATCTAATCCACAAAGAGCATAGGAAAATGGTCCTTCTCAATCCCTTCATTCAAATTTCGGTAATCCATATAAACTCTTCATCCGGTCACTAACCACATTGGAACAAGCTCGTTTCTCTCATTAGGCAATACTATCATTCCCCCCTATTTCGGCACATACTGAACAGGGCATACCCAACTACTATCTTATATAAGTCATATGACTCCTTCATCCAACAACTTAATGATATCCTTCTTCACCATCTCTTGCATAGGTTGATTCAACTGTCTCTAGTTCTCTATACTGGATTTGTGATCAAGCGTAAGTTGGATTTTGTGTGAACAAATACCGAGAGGGATCCCAATAATGTCTACAGTTGTCCATCCAATAGCTCATTTGAAACTTTTTAAAACGTCCAACAAACACTCTACTTTTTGCACATTCAAATCTGGTACATTGATTACAAGCAAAGTTTCATCTCTACCCAAGAATACATAACTCAGATGAGGTGATAGATCCTTGAACTCCAATTTTGGATCCTCCTAAATAGATGGTCATGCGGGTGGTGACTCACGATTCTTCATATCTAACTCCAATTTAATTTGTTTTCACCAATATTCATTCATTTTGAAGTACAACAACCAATCACACATACTCTTCAATGCCATCACAAACAAAATTCATGATCACTGCCGCTAGAGCCTCGAAACCCAGGCATTCTTCGATTTGTACCTCATACATACTGTCAACCCGATAGGATATAGAAGATACCATTTAAAGGTCACCACTATACTTCATGGATCTACAAATGTTGAATATAGTTTCTTCATTATTCATCCTAAATAATGTTTTCCCTTTTGCCATATCTACCAAGGCACAACCGTGGCAAGGAACGACCTCCCAAAGATAATAGGAATCATAAAGTACATCTCATAGCCAAGAATCACAAAATTGGCTTGAAATATAAACGAGTTCACTTTAACGAGCACATCATGGACTATCCCTATGTGCTTCTTCACTGTTCGATTAACCATCGGTAATCACATTGTAGTAGGATTTGGGTCACGCAAACCCAATTTCATATAAATTGAAAGAGGCATGAGGTTTATGCTATCACCTATATCACATAGTGGTTTAGAAAAATGTAATAATCTGATGGTACATGGAATACTGAAAGCACCCGGGTCTTTGTTTTTCTGCACAATAGACATAGTAGCAGTAGAAATACAATGATGCATTATGTCATCATCATATATATTCTTTGTAACCATATACTTCATGAGCTTAGCACAATAGGGAATTTATTCCAAAGCTTCTATCAAAGGGACATTGCTGGAAAGTTATTTTAGCATTGTGATAAAACGTCAGTATTTACCATCCTCAATCTTTTTTACCAATCTCAGAGAGAATGGTGGTGGAGGTTTAGGAATAGGGATAACATCTTAGGGTACCTCTACTACTTTCGTTGTTTTCTCCACCTATTCACACTAGTTTTTTCACCTCATTGTCTTTCCTTATCTCATCTTCTACTAGATGTCATAGGTAGATCAATAGTTTGCTTACCTTCTCAAGTTGTGACTGCCATGCAATGTCCATCATTCTTAGGATTTTGGATGGTATTTCTTGGAAGAGTGCCTAGTTGGTGTGGATTCACATTAGTAAAAAACTGGGGCATTTGTAACCCAAGATGCTTAATTGAGACGGCATGTGCATCAACCTTTTGCCTAGTGTTAGCTAAATCATGTCTCAATTCCTTCGCATGCTCATCACTAGCATCAAACCTTTTAATTATATTCTATAACATATCCTAAACACGCGCCATACTACCTCCACCATCCCTAGGACCAAGTTCTAGATTTTAAGGAGGAACATAGGGCCCACTCCGCTCATTTCTGTTACCAGTGTCTGGCTTTCTAGTACTCGAAGCCTTATTGTTGCGAGATATTTTCTCCAACTTCTTTGCGATCTTGGCATATGTGCACTCACCATAAGAACCCCCTGCAATAGTATCGAGTACTACTTTATTATTATCATCTTGACTCCAATAGAAGTACTCTTTTAAAGACTCATCATCAGTGAAGTGGTTTGGAACACTCCTCACATACGCCATAAATTTCTCCCAGGAGCTACTTATCGACTCTCAAAGTAGTACCACAAAGTTGTTCATTCTATCTAAAGTCAATCATAGAGGAAACATTGTCATCCCGATGACGTTCATAAATAAATCTGTCCTCCCCACAAAACTCTTACACACAGACCTCAATTTGGTTGTGTGAGCATGTGGATCCTCATATGGTAGCCCCTCAAACAAACCCCTTGCGGTAAGTGATTAACTCAAACAAACCCCTTGCATCAAACTTCTAGTAACCACGAACGTGTGCCCATGTGGAAGTGGAGGTAAAACAAGAGGTGCGTCAGAATCAGTTATGTTAACATTGCCCCTATAGAACTCTTGAATGCGTGGGATGGGAGGTTTCATAATCACAGCATCATCAACCGGATTTCCCGAAAATACCTTATTGTATGCATTCCCGAAAATACCTTATTGTATGCATCAAGAGGTGGTGGAGGATGCCTTACTAACCCATAACCAAGATTTGTTGGGTTCTACATATCTTCCATTCTTCGAAGTGTACGGTTAAGTTCAGGGTCGAATGGAATTAGAGGTTCTCCTAGATTATGTGTACTCGGCATATACTAGAGCTAAACCTGAGAAAAACGAAAACAAAAGAGAAACTAAATCAGGAAAACGTTGACTAAACTTCAGTAACATTATTTTAAGCTTAATCTAAAAGACACTTTCCCCAGCAGTTGCGCCAAAATTTGATATGCTCAAATTACACCTCCCTAAGGAAGAATAAACGGTCGTATCAAGTAAAGAACCAAATAAGTAGGTTGGGTCGATCCCACGAGAAAAATGGTTTAGACATAACTTCAATGTACAATTACATTCATGTCAAATTCTTTTAAAAAAAGACAATTTAAGGGGGTTTGAGATACTTCACCCCGTATTTTGGTCCGGTTACGTGTGCATAAACTACTAACTCTTACCTTTAATTCATATTAAAAATTATATTCGATGTATGACTTAGTTATTACTTTGCACCAATCGACACTAGACTATTAGATATTATCCCACTAAATCTATGTTGATATTTCTTTTATTAACTACCTCCTTTGTCCGGCAAGTAGCAACAAGTTAAGTTCTAATACGATCACTCATTAAAAAGACTTCTAAGTGAAAGAATTATCAATACATGAAATAATTGATTTGAGAATAGTTATTAAGCTAACTCTACTATGTTAATCAACCATGGTTCCCACAACCCTACTTGTGGATTTACTTACCCGTGCATTTAAGAACACAATTCATAGTTGTTAAACATTAAAAACATGAACTTACTTTGACAATTCGAAGAAAATCTAGAATTTCAACTAGAAATAACAAGAAATTAATCGAAAACAAAATCCGGGAACTGTATTAATGCTAAAGTTGCAAAACCAAATCTCCAAACACAAAATAAGAACAATAGTAATAGAATCCAACCCCAAAAATGACATTTTGACATCCTATTTATAGCTACATAGTCCTAAATCAAAAGAAATTAAAATAAAGAAAGTCCTCCAAAAAAACGTGGTTATAAACGATTGACCGTCGACTGCCTCTATCGTTCATACTTAGAATTTTTTTCATCCTTCAGCTGGCACCCTCCCTGCATCAACCACTGGCCAACAACATGGTCTATCGATGCCTCTATAGTTCATTGATTCCTTTGGTCGTTCCATACCTATATTATCTTCAACTTTGGGTACTGGACTATCTCTAAACTCATCGATATTTTATTTTCGAGGTACATTGATCCATCTGTATTCCCACGCTTGGTCAGATTTCCATGTCTTTTTCTAGATGCCTGAACTATCAGTTAACAGTCACCATCTATTGTTCATCGATGGCCTTCATAGGTAACCTTTGCACTAACTCTCAGTTGTCTTTTGCGTTTTGGGTTTTGACATCTTTCTTGAAAAAACAAAGATAAAATCATGTTAAAACAACTACAAAAAGTCTCTAGGCATACACAAATCTTAAAAGAAAAACAGTGAAAGTATCGCAAAACTTTGGTACATCAATAGCATCATATCAATATCATATAACCATAGCAACTGGAACATAATATCCTAGAAACAATCCATGTTTAAGAGTTTAAAAAATTAAAACATGTAGGACCCTTACTCACAACCCCTTCCTAAGCCTAACACTGCAATGCCTATATGAAGCCCCATAACTCCACATAGTCAAGTAAACGAAGCAAATGATCATAAGAAATATCAACATTTTATATGCATTCATATTATGAATATTGGTAATCATGTACATCAACATAGACAAACAGAATGTTCATCAATGAAACTTATATCATATAGGACCATCAACAAGCAATGTCATCATATAAATTTCAGAAATATCATAAGTACATGAGGACAACCTCCTAGGAGATCCCACAAGGTCAAAATAAGCCATGAATAAGAGGAGTCTCATACCCCTACCTATACGAAGTAGAACCCCTTAATTCACCCTAGTTAGTATTAACTTCATTAATTTTAATTTACTTTCAGGAATAATTGCCTTAACTAACTTATACTATGTGAGCTAGACATGGAATCTGATGCCATGAAATCGTAAAACTAAATGGTCTACTTTCCAAGATAGGACAAAAACATGAACATAACATTCTAAGTGGATCCAATAGCTATTATTTCTATGGTGGCAACATAGTTAACGAAATAGGAGATATTTCTTGAACCCTCTACATTACCATTAGCAATTGGAGCCCTCATCTCATGAGAATGTTTGGGGAATCGGCCTTCTATAGGGAGTCAACACCTCTCATTGCCAAGTTCACTCGGTGCTAAGCTAATGTCCTTTTTTGAAATGTATTTAAGTCATTTTTATTAATCATATCTTAGTATTTTTCATAAGAGACTAACCCCATGTACATCATGTCATTATATTATTAGGGATTTCATCTGGATTTCCTTTCATAAGAACCCTTCATTTGTGAGATCAATACATCATAATCATATCATAATAAGGCGAACAAGTGGTTAACATTCAACCTTTTATCAACATAACCTTAACATGATCTCAAAATTCATATAGTAAATACATTTCATCATAATCATACTATAATCATATTATCAATCCAATAACATATGTAAGTTGAATTGCAATATATCATCACAAATTATAATCCACCATTATTGAAGTAAAGAGATTAAGATCACAAAGTCTTACCAAATAACCTTCATGGACTTCATGAAGAATATCTCCTTATGTTCATACCAATTAACCAATAACTTAGTCATCATCATCATTATCATAATATAGTGAAATAAACAATAACATAACCAATTCAAACAAGCCTAATCATCTACAAGTACAATTCATAGTTAGGGTTCGGTAAAGGATTGAATTCTTACAACAGTTAATAAATATATATTTATAATGTATCAATAATAATAAGAAGAAATAAACATCAAATCCAATTGAAAACCAATTCACAAAAATGATAAGAAACCCATGTTTTTGACTTTTTAAATCAATTTGGAACAGCCTTTTGGGAAAAGAGATGAAAAGAGTAAAGAGATTCCATACCTTAAGATTCCTTAGTGTTTTTATCAAGAAAAGGTTAATTATTTATGTCCTACTCAATCTTTGAATTTTTGTTTAATGGGATCTTGCAATAAAGAGGGAAAGAAGTTAGAAATTGCAGAGAATTTGGGTTTGGAAATTGTGCGGTGTTCGGTTAGTTTAAATTAGATTAACTCCTTATATAGTCCCTCAACTAACTTAATTAACCCTCAATTAAAACTTAATTAACCAAATAACTAACGAAGTAATTAATTCACTTTCTAAAAGACATAACAAGTGAAACTCGACCAATAATATGACATTTGCTCGTCGGTGAGGCATCGATCAAATGACGGAACCCTATTGGCAAGCTGTACAATGATATAGAGGATATGGTTTTTGAACATTTTGGAATATTACTAAGTTCCAACCAACAGATCCATTGACGTTACGTTGATCAATCGACGGCTTGTCGATTGGGTTTGTGGATGTACTATGTCAAGTTTATAGTTTTGGGGTCAAATTTAAAGCCCCTTTCCAAGGACCCTTAGGGTAGCCTTTGGGAGTTGTAACAAGAATTTTTGTACCTTAACACACTCTTCTATATGCTTAAAACCTTTTTACCTATTTTCATTTAATTTTGACTCTTCCAACCCATGAAACATGCCAAGGCACACTAGTGCATATTTCACAATTCATTGGACATCATGAAGGGTTCATGGTGTGTTGACTCTAACACATTATAAATGTTTTTAAATCATTAATTTAAGCCTATACAAATATTTAAAAGTATTATTCAATCATTGAGGCTCTATATTAGGTGTTGGACTTTCAGAGTGTTAGGAGAAGCAAAATGAGTCTATTTGATGCTGCCTTTGGTCGTGCTTCAAGCAAAGAAGGTAGGTCTGCAATTTTGTTTGGGGAAATAAACATTTCTAGGTTAATGGTCTATGTGCAACAAGTTGAA